TTTGCCTCATCTTTGCATTTGAAAGCACATTTTAAGACAGAATTATTGGTTGAATTACTTTAGAATTAATATTGTTATTTGTAAAATTTCTAAATCATTTTTTTAATATATATTTATTCTATTTCATTGTTTGTGATAAGTGAAATTCGAAAACAAATACTATATTTTTCTTTTTCCCCCGTCGGCAGTTTAGAATCTTTAAGACGTATTAAAGATCACCGAACGACATGAAATGTTCGTTCCAAACGCACTGAATATTGTTTTTATTATCGTCTAACTCAAGAACAATGATTCACACAGAAACGGAATTGGTCTCGTATCAAAATTTGGACGTCATTTTATCCGCTGGATGTTTGTGCTTTTCTCTTCAATAATAAAAAAGTTTCTCGCGTGGTGAAAATTTGACGTCAAAATGTAGTAGTAAATATTCGGCAATCATTTATAATTAATTTCATCGTAATTAAACCATGAAACGCAATTACAAAATAACCATAACATTCATAGAATTTCTGGGAATAACTGAAAAAAAACTCGGTTGTCTAAGATCAACACAATTGACGCTATCGTTGAGTAAAGATGTAAAATGTTTACGCGTGAAACGGGATGGACGGGCCGATTAAGCCCGAGCAGTGTTTGGCAACACAGCTTGCAGTAGAAAGAGAGAGTCTTATGTAAAATTGTTTTGGTTAGAAAGAGAGAGCAATACTCCATTAATCTCCGTACTGCAATCAAACCTTCGATGCACAATAGAAACATCCCTTATATGGTCTCATGTCGTTACCGAGGACATTCAACTAGCGGTCATGCTGTGTGTGTGTGTGTGTGTGTGTGTGTGTGTGTGTGTGTGTGTGTGCAATAAGTGTGGTTTCGGTCGACGGTTATGCATGCTTCAGGGTGACCACTTACTGGAAAACCTGAAAAAAATCAAGGAATTTCATTGCTCTGGAAAAGTCAGTGAAAAATCGGCTAATTCGTAGAATAATAAATTCGTTTTATATCTGACCCAACCTAAAACAAGCATAGAGTGACCACTTTGTGGATAACTGAAAAAATCAGAGAATTTCATTGCTTTGGATAAGTTAGGGACAATTTTTGAGGGGGTGTAAAACGAGATATTTTTTTTAAACATTGTTACTTTGGACCAATTGTTGTTTGATGAGACAATTTATTTAATTTGTACTTTGTCAACGCAAAGTAGTGTGAAATTATCAATTTTTGACGGGAAAATAATTCGCAAACGGAGAAAAGTCAGGAAAATTTGTTTCAGAAAGTGAGTAGTCACCCTGAACTAGGCGTTAAATTAATTTTGATCGTTTTGGGTGTTGAAAGGAACGGGTGATGCATAAACAAAATCACTGACAGATACATAAATTTGGCATGGCCTTTACGCGTGGCCCGCTTGCTTTGTAATACAAAATTGATAAACTGAATAGACCTTTGCGCGATCATATTACATTATAACGTCTGTTTAAAAATGTTAGTCTCCCTTGTTTCTTGCGATAGCTTGTGGTCACTACTCTTCGAAATTTCGAGTCTTGCTCGAGCTGCGGCTAGGCTCGAGTCCCGACGGTGGCAGGATTTTCGACACTAAGCTTGTCAGCTAGGTCGAATTCAGTCGCTGTCTGGAGGAGAATTCCAGTGGCCGGGTGCTCTGATCGGTAGTTTACCATGGTTTCTCCGATCAACGCCAGGGGAATGGTGGATCAGTATCCTGACGGACAACGCGCGATCTTCCTTACCTCTTTCTTGTGCTATCCGCATCCCTTACGCACTGTTATACTAACATGCTCTACACTACCACTCGTGTCGGGAGACTGGTTGGGAGCTTAGAATTTGTTCCGGCTGGTGGGAGATACCTGGTGGACGGAGAACCCGCTTGCCGACGGTTAGTCAGCGCCGGACCTTGCCATGCAGCGGGGGAAAACCACCATCTCCCGACCAAAACCTCCACTATACTTCAGATATTTTGGCACATTACGACTGGTTCTTGTCACAGCATGAATGACTCCCTCTCCTAGTCACACCTTGAAGCGTAGGCAGGAAATGACACAGACTCCGTTATGACGGAGAGAGATACAAGGTGTGTCAAAAAAGTCATGAAATATATATTTTTTGAAAACATTTATTGGCGATATATGTACAAAGCTTTAAAATTCTTCAAAGTAGTCACCATCAGCATCTACAAATTTTTCCAGTGCTTCGCCCATGATTGGAAGGCCCCTTGGAAGGCTTCAACCGGAACCTCGTTTAAGAGCGTTGTCAAAGCCTTTTGGATGTCCTCAATGGTCTCAAAACGGCGCCCTCCGGTTTTTAATCCCGAGAAACAGGAAGAAGTCCGGCGGAGAGAGGTCAGGACGGGAGGGTGGCTGCGGCAGTATTGTCAGGTTATGCTTGGCCAAATACTCGCGGACGCGCAGAGACGTATGACTCGGCGCGTTGTCGTAATGCAGCAGCCACGTGGCGGCGACGTCTTTCCGCACTTGGAGGACCCTTTTTCTTAATCGTTCCAAGACATCGTAGTATTGAGCATTAACAGTCTGCCCTTGGGGCACAAACTCTTTGTGCACCACGCCTTTGTTGTCGAAGACAATGAGCATCGTTTTCACCTTAGATTTACTCCTCCTCGCCTTGGGTTTTGGAGACGCTGAGGTGTGCCATTCCGAACTTTTGCGCTTGGTTTCCGTGTAGTACGCTTAAGTCCGTCTCGTCACCAGTAATAACGTTGACTAAATAAAGCGGTTCAATTTCCACACGTTCCAACTGTTCACTTGCGATCCACATTTGATTGAACTTTTGTTCGTCTGACAAAACTTTCGGCACTAACTTGGCGCTCACCTTTCACCTCCGTAACAATGTTGAATACGAATATGAACTTTTTGGGATGTTCAGAGTGTCAGCTAAAAGCTGAACACTCAATCAGCGGTGAAAATGTATCAATTCACGAACACTATTCACATTGGCTTTGTTTCTGCTTGTTGATGGTCTTCCAGAACGAGGGTCATCGTCCACCCCTTCCTGACCATCCTTAAACTTCTTCACCCATCTCGTAACTTGCACATAACTCATGGCAGATTCCCCGTAGGCTCGCTTTAACATTGCGTGAGTCTCGGAAGGCTTTTTATCGAGCTTCGTGCGAAACCTGATCACCCAAAGTTGTTCTACCGAATCACTCATCGCGTGTCGTGACAAGGTCGCGAAACAGAGGCGCACTTATTTAACTGATGCTACCGTTGCTTGGAGCAGACTGCGCTTTGATGCGCTGTAAAGCTGAGGGTCCCCCCCCACCTAACCCAATCAGTCCGAGTGCGCTGCGACCAACAACAGCACTGCAAAAAATTATATTTCATGACTTTTTGGGCACGACTTGTATATTTGATTTAGGAATATACGGACTCCACAAGCGCAGAACCGACGTTCGGCGATGAGTCAAGAGAGATATTCTTTGTTTCACAACTTCGTAAAATTTATTGTATATTATAGGGTAACTTTTATTTTCTGAAATTTGTTCAATTATTTGAAAAAGTTTATAAGAAATATAATATACTCTTTATATCAACTTTGTTGTCGATTCAAGTCTTATTATGTGAGTAATTTTTATTTTACGAATATTTAAAATACAAATTTATTTTCAAATATTAAAAATAATAAATATTGATTTTAAAAACTTTTGAATTAAATAACTTAAATCACATGATTTAAATCATAGTAGCCTTAATTTGAAATAAATCAAATCCTATACAAATTTCCGTGTTATCACTCCGGTTACATTACTACAAAATTTTATGAGCATGATTCGTTCGAGGTAAGAATAAGTTGAAAATGGAATACACGTATTTGTGCGATAATATTGAAACCTCTCGGACGGAGAAATTCTTATTGCATTGCTTCAGAATGTTTTGCACCTTGTCACTTACGCTCCTCTTGCAAAAAAAGTGTTTACTCTCTCTGTACTCTCACTTACCCTTCTCTTGCTAAAGTTGATAAGTCAAAGGCTATATCAACAAATAGTACGGAATAGTGTGCGTAATATGTTAAAAGGAAATTGTATTCTGCCAGCTAGTTTAAAAATTATTACGGGTTGAATAGTCCTGATATCAGCTGAAATTTGTTATAATTTTTAACAATAATAAACATTAACATTTTAAAATAAATGTTGCCATTTTTTGAGTCCATAATTAGCCTAACATTCGTATAAAAGTAGTTTTGTTCTAACTTTAATTTTTGATTTTGTGTCAGCTAGCTGTATTCTAAAGCTGGCTGAACACTGATTTTTGAGAAAAGTACAGGAGCCTAAACTTTTGGGATAGAGCATTTAATTAGCCTAAAACTATGAGCTACATTTTTTTTGTTTTCTGTTACAGTGTGTCAGCCAGCTTTATGGACATAAATGTATATACTTAAGATTTCTATTTTTTTGTTTTCTGTCGATTTGCTTCGAATTGAAAATAAAAATCCAATTCATTTCAGTATCTCATACCACAATACAGTTGTAGAGTTCGAATGGAATTACTCAGAATCCATTCTCCAATATTGAAATTCATGAAATTTAAAAAAATTGATGTTAACAAAACGTACACTTATTTCATTTTGCCAAAAATGGAATGTGATAAGAATTTCACCTGGCATCCAAAATCACGTCAAAAAACTACTAACTCTTTGTGTCAACAGATGTTATAAAACTGTATTACTTGCAGATGTGGGCTTCTACTTTAAATTGAAGAAAATGTTAAAAACGAACACATACATTTGAGATCGGTCACGGTCAATCATAGTTGATTTCTTGATTATTTCACAAGTAAATTCTTCGGGTTCTCATTCACTACTCTATAAAAGACAAAACAGTATGGTAATTTTGAATTATTTCTAGAAATTTGTCCGTAAAGAAACTTTGCTTTGAGAGTCTACAAATATCTCAATTCATGAAGTATGTTTTTGAAAATTCTATAAGATTTAAATTGTAATTATCATCGACAAAAATTAATGTGATGATTTCTTTGCAGATGGTGGTATTTAAATATATTGAAGATAAAGATGTATTTCAAAAATTTTATAGCAAAATGTTGGCTAAACGTTTAGTACAGCATATGTCTGCTAGCGATGACTCCGAATCGTCCATGATTTCAAAACTGAAGGGAGCGTGTGGGTTTGAATATACATCAAAGCTTCAACGTATGTTTCAAGATATTGGTGTATCTAAAGATCTTAATGAAGCTTTTCGAAAACATCTTGTAAATTCAAACGAACCACTTGATATTGACTTCAGTATCCAAGTGCTATCGTCTGGCTCATGGCCTTTCCAGCAGTCCTTCACATTTTCTCTTCCTACTGAGGTTTGTATTAGTACATTTGTTTTGTACTTTTTACCTCATTTTTCACGATAATGAAGAATTAAATGTAATACTTTTTATATTTCCTTAACAAAGTTTAAATCATGATTCGGTGTTTAGTATATATTATACAGGTTGTCCCATTTAACTTGACAACTTGAAATAACTGAAAAAATACGCTATGTACGAAAAATTGAGCCGAGACCAAATCTTAACAGTTTTGAAGGGGGAATCATTCTATGCAAACATCAGCACCCCCCTGCCCCCAGCGGGTGGGGCGGTGTGCAACATTGAAATCTTAAATAGGAACCCCCATTTTTTTTTCAGATTCGGATTCTACGGATAAAAATAAGTTTTGTCTGAACCTTTTTTCTGATTTGTGGAGCTTAATCGCAAAAATTTAATTTCCGAAGATTTCCGACTAATTAGAGTGGTTTTGAGTGTGGCCTCTGGGCACACCCGTCAATTTGTTGGTAGCGTCTCTCCATGGTCCATGCCTACAGTACTTCAGAGGCGATCCGATATTTATTAAACATTTACCTTTCTGAATTAACATTCCTCGTTGTTGCATTATGGATTATGTAAAAGTGCAAGAAAAAATTGAAATGATTTTCATTTACGGCGAAGCTGGGAGAAATTTCGACGCTGCTGTTAGTTTGTATGCTCAACGTTTTCCTGATAAGAGTATAATCGCGTTCTTCTTTCATTAGAATTGTTCAACAATTCTCTACTGATGGAAGTGTACAACCGAAGAAAAGAACACGTAGAGTTTCTGCTACTGGAGAAAATAATCAAATATCAGTTCTGGCTGCAGTAGCTCATACATACATTTTATCCGTATAATGTATCCTTGCATCAGGAATTAACTGACAATGACTTCCAAAACCGACTACAGTTTTGTCAATGGGCAGTTCAGGGAATACAAACGAATCCGAACTTTTTTACTCAAGTACTATTCTTTGATGAATCGACATTTAGAAACTACGGTGAAGTTAACCGACATTACGTGCATTTTTGGAGTGTAGAAAGCCCACACTGGATTCGTCAAGTAAATCATCAGCGACCTTGGTCGGTTAACGTTTGTTGTGGAATAATTGGCGATAAACTTATCGGACCATACTTTATTGACGTTAATCTAAATGGTGACAAGTACCGAAACCTTCTTGATAAAGAATACCGAAAATGCTCGAAGACGTAAGTTTGGAAGTGCGACAAAACATGTAGTTTCAAGAAGATGGTTGCCCAGCACATTACTCATTAGTAGCACGCGAGGTATTGGATCGGTATTACAATAATCGTTGGATCGGTAGAGAAGGACTAGTGCACTGGCCAGCCAGATCACCAGATTTTACCTCACCAGATTTCATTTTGTGCGGTTACCTACAAGATGTCGTTTATAAAGAAACACCTACTACTCGTAAAAACATGATGCAACGAATAAGGGACGCTTGTGCCGCGATTACACCAGATATGCTTATGCGATGTGTTAGTTCGTTTGTAGGACGAATCAATAAATACATTGAAGTTCAGGGCCATCATTTTTAGCACGCACTTTAAATAAATGCTGAGGTATTTGTAGAATCATCTAAAACCAGCACTCCGATAGTGAGAGGCAAGGGGACTCACTAAAAATAAGCACCCCGAAGGGAACAGAAAACTACTACGTACACGTCGTTGTTCCTGGGTTACGCTAAAATATTGACTTCCGTAGAAAATACTGATTTTAATAACCACTCAGAAATAATCGACCACGCATAAATCACTCAAATTACAGTCTGAAATCTTCGGAAATCAAATTTTTGCGATTACAGCTCCACCTATCCCAAATCAGAAAAAAGTTTAAGACAAAACGCATGTATTTTTGTCCGTAGAATCCGAATCAGAAATAAAAAATGGGGGGTTTCTATTTAAGATTTCAATGTTGCCCACCGCCCCATCCGCTGGGGGCAGGGGGTGCAGATTTTAGCATAAAATGATTCCCCCTTCAAAACTGTTAAGATTTGGTCTCGGCTCAATTTTTCGTACATCGCGTATTTTTTTAGTTATTTCAAGTTGTCAAGTTAAATGAGACATCCTGTTTAGTGCCTCCATGAAAAATACTACATGAACTTAATTTTCTTGTTACCATTTATCTTTCATTTTCTTGATGTTTAATGTAATGTCACATTTTAATGTAATCTTTATTTGTTCGGATAGCTGGAACGGAGTGTTCATAGGTTTACAACTTTCTACAGTAGTCAGCATAGTGGCCGCAAACTCAGTTGGCTCTATAATATGTCCAAAGGAGAGCTTCTGACGAATTGTTTTAAAAACCGGTAAGTAACGTTAAATTTACTATCAGGGTGGAACGAAAATTTCAAACAATAATTATCTTAACATTCCCTTATTTTCTAGACTTATCAATTTTCTCTGACCACTTCAAAAATATTTCAAAGAAATGCAAAAGGATGTTGAACGAAAATGTATTTTTACATTCTACTGTAATATGTTGTGCATTTGGGACCTCATTATCCAACGACCACTCCGATTCATTTTTGCTCGTACTTTATTATTTTAGGACCTCGTTTGTGCGGATCTTCGTTGAGTTCGCCTTTTCCTAGTTCTGGCAGAAGTCTAGCCGGGAATGTGGGTTGCTATTTTTTTAAAATTTCTAGTTTTCAAATGTTGGTACTTTTATTCATCACTCTACTACGTACATTACAATTACGAAGGTATTCTGGAGCTCAAGAAAACTTGTGCTAATTATACTTCTCCCCCATATGTTACAGGTTTTTTCTTTTGACGAAAATAATATCTTAGATTCCAGGAACCTGGCTTATAGAGATCATGTAGATTCAAATTTCGAAGTAGGATAAACATTGTTTCTTACGATTTTAACAGTAGTGCTTAATCGAAATTAATCATTTTCACTATACTTTAGTACATTAATATAATGAACACGGGTGTCTACAGAGTGCAAATATCCCCTTTTGTAGAATATTATCCGAGTGGACGTGACTCGCTTCAGGAAATAGACATCGATTCATATAATTTTGCATTACACAAATAATTATATTAAAGTAATTTAACAATTATAGTGTAATTATTATAATTGCAAACCTCCGTTCTAAAACCAACAAATTCTTTTTTATTTTGTCTGTTTATATATCGAATCTTTTTGTCAGATCCCGTTTCATTAACATTAAATTTACTAGAAAAACTGAAAACTAATTAAGACGCCTGTGGCTTTGAAACTCCTAAGCAATCATGACAACCATTGTGCAAAAAGCGTTTCTTTAGAGGATGTGAAAATGGCTATGAATTCAACATCAGATTATTGAACAATCAAAACTTCAAAAAATGTTCTGAGAAAATTATTTTTATGTATTTAATTTTCCATTCACCATCACAATGACTATTTTGATTAATAAAAGTGATACTATAGTGCCAGACCCGATCGAATATCCTCCCCTCTGTAGGTAATGTGTCATGCTTGCATAAATGACGTGAGCCAACCAGCTGGACTAACATCCAGAGTGTCGGTAGAAGAACCGATTTATCGCTTATCATTAACTTTCATGACTTAAGCGGAGTTCCAACTGGTATCTTGGTAGTAGTGTAAAAAGTCAAACCTGCATTACGGAGAGGTTTAATGAAAGAGCTATACCGTTCGTCGCCTGAGTCAAGATCAGGTTTGGATGTTAGTATATCTGGACACTGGCCTGAAATGGAATATATGATCTAGAATCTTTGGTTAGACAACCAGGGCTGATGACTGCAGAGAAACTGGAATAATGACGGAAGTGAAGGGGAAAATAGTCGTGAAGTGCTACTCGCAAGCTAACCCTCGCCATAGAGCATTCCTAAAGAGATGTGCCAGCAAACACATCCAGTCTCCAAAATAACAGAACAGATATTAGCTTACCAGAGAAATGATAGTACGAAATACTCCACTCAGCTCCCTGGAGATCGAGTAACTTAAGCGTATAATCCAAAAGACAGCCCCCTCGTGAAGACTGGCAAGAGAAACACAGTCCCTGACATACTAGAGGTCATGGAAGATGTACTGTCAGAAGACGAAGTTGCGCCAGAATAAAAATAAACAAATGCTACAACAAGAACGCGCCAAGTACTGGTACTAAGAGTCACAAACGCTTCTGCGAAGCCTCGGAGCTATAGTCAACAACTATTACATCATCTAATTTTCGGACTTGGAATGAACAAACCGCTTACGTACCCAAGAGCCCGCACTATTGCTGAGGAACTGGGATACTGACTACTTTATGCCGGGCATCGGGTGGTCCATATCGTGGAAGATTTGTGTGAAGAGGGAGATCCACCTCCATGAAGATAATAGCAACCTTAAGTCTAAAATAAGACTCTTTGAAGAAAATCAAGAAGAGAGCACGCACAAGCAATTCCATATCGAATTAAGGTGATAACTGCACGCAAAACGACGGTATAAGACCTTGGGTGTTGTCTCGATCGACCACAAGAAAACACAACTCTGCCCTACAATGGATAGTTAAGCTCTTAGAAGTGGTGCAGGTTTCATTTTCGTGAAAACTTTTACAACTACAATATCGAAGGTATTTTTTTCCTGAATGAAGTCTGTTTTTTAAAGACATATCTTAAAATAAGGTCATGTACAGTTTTTGTGGGGAGTTTTCCCTTAATTTTGCCGGCAAAATAGGAAATTTTTGAACAAAAACGTTAGCGTACGTTTCAAACGACGGTATAAAAGGTGCTAGTCCAATTTTTGGGGAACTATTTTCGAAAATTGCAAAAATACAATATTAATTGAGGGTTTGTCTTAAATACAATCTGTTCTACAAATCGACTTTGAAGCAATTTCATTTATATATTTTACCGCAAAAACAGTTAAACACTGTGTGAGGTCCTATGGGATGAATTCTCTGCGCGTTTTTTTAAAATTCTGGAATCCCTTCCCAAAGCCAGATTCAAGTTGAATTCTGAATACAGAAAGAAATGAGATTTTTTGACGAGTATTGTTAACTGAAATATTCGTGCCGCTGTAATAAAATATATTTTCAATGGCAAATCGGCTGTAGATTTGGTTCTTATCTCTCATCTCAAATTATAAATGAATGTGTGAAAACCCGAACATTATACGTGATATTTTATAAATTCTGGGAAATTTTATTAAAGTCAATATCACTGAAGTCGTGGTGCTTTGTTTCATCATTAAAATCACTGCATTTCAATTGTTCATTAAAACAACAAAAATACATTGCCATTGAAACGTAGCTTGAAATTAACGTTGTTCTCAGAATTTATAAAATGCCACTTAACCGTTCTGGTTTTCACCATTCAAATAAATCATTTTCTCAAAAAGCGCTCTAATTTTTTTTTTTTACCCTGAATAGAACAAGGTGTGTTTAAAAGGCTGGCGCAGGCCTCATCGTTGAACTCCCTGTATTTTCGAAAATTGCATAATTAGAAATAATGCGAGAAAGTTTGTGCTGTTGAAGCCCCAGGAGTTTCTTATAGTTTTTAACTATAATAAAGCAGCGTTCGCCTAATAATATGGCTTAAGTTTAATTTTCGTTAAAACCTTCGAAAAATCGATAATTATTGATAATAATCGATAAAAAATTCGACCATTTTGTGATGAAAGTATTGTCTGGCGATCAGCGATGTGATACTGCGGATTCGTTCGTTGGTTGCGAATCTGAGCAAGACCTGCGGGTTGGAAACACTTTCGCGAGTTCAAATAGATTCGATTTTACTATTACGTAACTATTGCAAATAATGCGAGCAAGTCCATGTTCAACGATGTGGGCTTGTTTACTTTTTGGATGTGCCTTGTATCTAGCAAGAATGATCAGTCATCAATGGATCTCAACCCCATTTAATAAATTACTCATTAAAAACACTTCACAACTTCACTTCGTTTGTCTTCATTTTTCAATATTATAAATTACTTTATTACAATTCATTACAATACAACATTGTAATGAGGAGGGATGTCAGATAGTCAAGTCGAGGCCTAACAGAGGGCAGCACTTCCGCCGAGCTGTGAACATGCACAAGGCATCCCAGTTCAGTTGATAGGAGTTAGTGGCCATGAGCACACCTCTCTGTATTTTTTATAACTGTTCCATTACAATAAAACTTAATTCTATTGAGCAAGCTCGTCAGTTCATTATTTAAAGTCGTGATCCTGACAAATACAATATGAATTTTACATCATTTTAACTAATCGCAGTATCTGTACGAAACGTTTGAAGTAAAAATTTAGATCCGTTTTTGAGAAAATGACGTTTGAGTGTTTCTGAAAATGCGAAATTTTGAGCCTATTTTCGCAGAAAATATTTAAGTTTTCAAGAAACTTTATAAGACAACATTTTCATGTACTCGTAAATGCAATAATGTGAAGAAATCGCCACAATATATACATTAACAACGTGAGAGGCTAGTCATAAAAATTAAATTGTTGAAAAAAGAAAAGAATAGAGCAAAAGGCAGTTGTACATATTGCGTCCAATATTGTGCGAAAACTACTGAAATTTTCAAAACAATTTACCCCTTAACGAAACGAAACTAATTATGGAAAACAAATTTCTTCAATTTAGTAGTTGTGGGAAGACGCCGAAAAAATTCAAACTTTTGCTATTATAGAAAATTTTATAGTACAAAAGTATTGACCTATGCTGTATTGTATATATTATAGAAAATTGTGAAGTAAAGAAGTTGACATATGTCATCTTGATAAGTGTATATTTTTCTCTATTCTTACAAGAAATTTGAAGAAAAAAGTTAAGTCATCTTTGAGGAAATTTTGAAAAAATGTACCAAGGGTTTCACGTAAATTGCCCCCAAACATTAATGAATGTTTCTCAAAATCGCAGAGCTTCGACTCAGATTAGATCGACGAGTTTATTCTGTTTGAAAACAAGGTGCGCATAGTTAGGCGCTAGTTGTTCACTGACGAACGGACGTTTTGCCATCAATCGATTTTTCGGTATCAGGACCGTACAAAACATGGATTCTGGCGACACCACTTGTTAGATGATTTTTTACTTTCTCGCTACCGCTTACGCAGTACTGAAAAAGTTATTTAATGCTGCGCGGAAAATGGCGAATTTCTGCCAGAAAATTATTATGACAGGGCGCTGGCAACAAAAGTGTATAAATCCAGATGCAACATTTAGAAAAAAATCCTCTAACTCGTGTCCGTGTCTTGTGAGTTCTTAATACCGAAAAATCGATTGACGGCAAAACATGCCCGTCCGTGTAAAAAAAATCACTAGCAGCTAAACCGTTGAGCCGATTATCTCCAAAATTTATATTACCCAAACGATCTGATTATGTC